GCAAGGGACACTGCAAGGGTCCAGTTGGTTTGTCAACCAAATCCCTCTTCCATCTTGATCACTCAACTCGAGGCATGTTAGACACAAAGTTGGAAACATCTTGCGCTGGGGACATGCTAAGGTGCATCTGCTTGGATGCCACAGGTTCCGATCCACCCCGCCGGGCCAGAATCGCATTCTGCCCATCTTCATCCAACCAGATCACCAGTGTGTCTCCTCAATAAGAAAACAATGTCGTCAGATGGCTCGTTTTCGAATGAACTTGGTTTTAAGCAGAATATGACGAACTGTGTCCAGTGAATGTGTTTCGCGTTCTCCGAGGCGAAAGGAGAATAGGAACCACCCCTCCCAACGGTGTCGAACCTTTCTGCCCCCAACGTGCTTTGTTACTACATCCACAGAACATGCCTCCCCTCCAACAGCTGCCATCCTCGCCACCCCCACCGGCACCAACCTCTGTTGCAAACACATACCTGGGCCCAGGAAAAAGTCTACCGGCAGCGACGAGCAGGCTACTGGATGCGTAACGGACATGTTTATTTTTCAGGTAGTCATGGGTGCTGGTGAATGAAACAAAACTGCAGGACAGCTAACTACGGGATTAGAATAAGATCTGAAACAGAGAACTAACCAATAAATGAAACAAAACAAAATGCAAAGCTGGAAGGATTTAAGTTTACTGGCCCAGACCTTACACTCCTAACAAAATAATAAATTCTGTTCACAAGCATAAGCACGGCTAATCAAGCATCTAAAAGAAGCAACGCCTGCCACCACCGGAAGATTCACAAGAAAGGAAGCATTCTCCCCACGAATTTCACTAGATGGGCCTCACGGATGACCCAGAAGAGAATGGCGTGTTTTGCCACAGTCCACAGATTTCATCCAGTTTTCTGTCTCTAGCACTACCACCTTGGGCACACGCAATCTGGGCTAATTTTGGGCGTGAAGCAAGTCAGGCATGGTAGCTACAGTGGTACCTCGACTTATGAACATCTCCAGTTGCGAATGTTTTGAGTTACGAATGGCTCCGGTCGCAAAATGTTGCTTCGACTTACGAACGAAAAAAACTTTTCCTGCCCTTTTTTGACCTAAGTTCATCTTCGGTCAAAAGAAGAAAAAATAAGAAAAATTTCTCCCTCTAGTAGTAGAGGATGGATTAACTGGCTTTGCATTAGTTCCTATGGGAACTAATGCCTCTGCTTACGAACAGCGCCTCGACATACGAACGAAAAACAGCCTGAACAGATTAAATGGTTTTCAGTGCCTTTCTATGGGAAATCTTGCCTTGACTTACGAACTTTTCGACGTACGAATGACGTGGCAATACGGATTAAGTTCATAAGTCGAGGTACCATTGTATATGGACAGGAAACCTTCCAGCTAATACCAGGGATCTCCAGAGAGGGGGGCTAGGAAGGAGCCTGGCCGGAACTTCAGCGCATCTTGAGTGCAAGAGGCTGGCCTATAGATGGATCAATGGTCTGACCTCGTATCAGGCAGACCTTTCTATTTCTATCTGCTCTCTGTGGAGGGATCGGTGCAGGGGAATGGAGCTGCAGACCCCTCCCCACTGCTACTATCCAGACACCACTGGATGCCAAAAGAGGGCCTGGATAGAGATAATCCTCAGGGAATGGAGGGAGCCTCACGAGGCGGCAATTAAACTGCATTACTGCGCCCAAAACTCTGCACATCACCCAGGCTCAGTCACAGGTAGCTAGCCTGAGGCTGAGTTTCCATCCTCCAAAGGCTGGCATAGGGGACAATGTGTCACCATGCTGGGTGGGTTTGTTTTTAAATGTAAAGGTTAGCAATTCCTTTAAATATAAAGGTGTGTAAGTGCTACATGCCAGTCAAAGCCTTCGGAATGAAGCCAGATAGAAATGCAACATTTTACTCTAGTATAGAACCTCTTACTTAATGGAAATCAATCCCAAGAGCATACAGCCATCAGCTGCCATCCTTTAAAAACCACTACAAAGCTATGGGGAGGAAGAGCTGAAATGGTAAAACTCAACAGGACTGCAAAAACAGAGAAGAAAGAAGTAGCTAACTTTTGAGTTCGGCGATTTGTCTTTTATTAACTTTTTGAAATTAAAGTAAATAGAAGTAGTCTGGACTGCCTCAGAGCTATCGTTTTACGTGCACATCTTTCCAGTTCAGTCTGCTTCATACAACTTCATGTGCGGCCAATTTAATGCATATTTTTAAACTGTAAAAAGTATAGTGTGTAAGTTAGCAGAAACACTTAATTTAAAAAGACTGAAAGCCAGAATACAATAAGCATTCTCTAAAAAGGTCCAGCTGCCTCTACATGGTGGTCAGCTTCAATAAATACCCCAAAGGGCGACTGTCAGGGGGAAGACTGCCTAGGAGGCTGCCCCCCCCCTTCACTACAGAGAGGATTTTTCTGATTTCTTCGACTCCAGCTCCCGTCATTCTCCCTCCTGGGAGTTCCATCCGACAGGTGCCTTACAGATCCCTCAAGGTGGCTCAGAAAAGAAGAGATGAGTTGGCAAATCAGAGAAAAGAGTACACATTTCCCGCCCACACCTCCACCTCAACTACACACTTTACATTCAGACATTGGATAGCAACCTCTTTATTACTGGTCTCGAAGCTCAAGGATAGGAGAGGGAAGCTATGTATACAGTGGTGCCTCACACAGCGAGGTTAATCCATTCCGGATCAACCCTTGCTGTGTGAAAACATCGCTGTACGGATCAAAAAAAGCCACTGGAACGCATTAAACTTAGTTTAATTCCAACATCCTCTTTCCATTCTACTGCGGAGATACAGTAGAACTCTGAAAGTGTGGAGTTTCTTTGTTAGGTCTGTAAGCTGCTCGCTCTTAAAAAGAGACAACTCATTTTGAACACACACTTTAGGGAGGTTTTCTGGGTTGAAATACCCATCTGTGATCCTCAAAGATGCTGCTCAGTGATTTACCTGTCTGGAGAGAATGACCACGGTAGGAGACCCCCCAAGAGGAACGAGGCCACCCCTAGAAGGAGACCACGGAGGACTCTCACAAAACAGAGTTGCTCAGAGTCTCAGTGGAGGCTGTGATGGCACTAAAGATTTCATGAAGGGGCTTCGTGGGGAATAAG